GTTGGTGTGAAATAGATTTAACACCTTTATGTCTTTCACTCAAATTTTCTTCAACTCCAAAGTAAAAATAAAGAAAGGGACAGGAAACCATATTCACTACAATGAAAGTTCTACACACTGCCTGCTGATGGGAACATCCTCTATTCTAAGTGAATTCACAAATTATTGCCTTAAAGAAGTAATAGAATTTTATAGGATTATTTGCTTCTATGTTAGTATTTCTTTTTATTTTTTAAAAACATGACTGTGTACACTAAAAAAGGGCTGCTTAGACTAACAATCATATCTACTTATATTCTATTTTAATCTAAAATTATGGCTTCTCCTTTAGTCATCCTTTAAGCAATTAATGTCTACTAGTTTAAAAGCATTTCTACTATTTGCTTCTGGTATTTTTCCTGGAAATAAATTCTGTATTTGTGTTGCTGTAAGGGAAGCATTTAGACTGAAATCCCCATTTGTCTCTATTCAGTATTTCTGCCTGTGGCACCTCCTACTCCTAGTGTATTGATTCCATTATTTTATAGAAGTTATTTTGATGTCTTTTTCTTAGAATAAAAGTACTCAACTGTTCTCTATCATTTTCTGTGATTCAAGAGGAAATAATTTTAAGTGTAAAAGAGAATAATTGAGGATAATATCAGACATTTCATAGCATTCTTCTCTTCCACCACTATTCTTCCACCACTATTCCAATATTCTTATTAATTTTATCAATAAGTAATATTAAAAGCTTGCAATGTGCAAATCACATTCTCAATGCCCTAATGTATTGTTTCATTTATTCTTCCTCACATGCCTTTTATAGAAGTGGTAATATTGGCCCATTTTACAAATTAGGAAAGTGAGGTATATAAATATTAAATCATCTGCTCAAAGTCACACAGGTAATAGATGGAAAAGCAGAGGACTTGAACCCAAGTTTGGATGACTCTAGAGCTGACCTTTTTAAACACCACTCAATACTGTCTTGCATGTTTATTGTCATTGTATAATATTTTTAGTTTTAAAAACTCTATATTTATATTAGGCTGAATTATGTCTCCCAAAGGCATCGGGTCCTTATCTCTGGAACCTGTACATGTTACCTTATTTGGAAATAGAATCTTTGTAAATGTGATTAAGTTGAGGATTCTGAGATGAAGAGATTATCCCAGATTATCAGATGGGACCTAAATGCAATCATATGCACCCTTATAAGAGGAAGACATGTGACTTGAGACAAAACAGATTGAAAAAAAGAGGAAGGCAAAGGGGGACTGAATACAGAAATAAGAGAAAATGTGAAGATGGAGGCAGGGATTGAAGTGATATGCCACAAGGTAAGGAATGCTAGCAGCCATAGGAAACTAATAATTTAGAATTCAAGAAACCATGTATAACTGTGCTGATAATTAGGGTCTACTAACAATAGAAGAAAGGTGGTTTGGTGATGACCTCATCTTTTAAAATGGTCTGATTTTTTTTCAAGTTGACTTGGTATTTCCATAATTTCATTCATTATTTTAAAATAAAGAAAAGCACGCACATTGAACAGTGAAAATGTATAGCTCTATAAAATAGATTGAGGGAAGAAAACTAAAATTTAGGTGTCTTCCTTGTTAATTCTTAATTCCTAAAACATGCTCAGTCACCATATGCTTGCGCCTCATCCTATTTTATGTACATAGAATCACCATTCCTTTCTTGGCTGTGCTCTGGTGCTCAGGGTGGTCAGAATGGTCTAATATTTTACTTGAAGAACATCCCAGCTTGACAGTTCACTTGAAGCTCCTTGCAGAGGTGATGATGAATAATTTACCACAGGGTGTCACATTGGCAACCTTTTTCATAACTTTCTACTGAAAGAAGAAACTCCCCTAAAGTTTTAGCTTCCTCCCCTTCTGCTGACCCATCTGATAATCTGGGATAATCTCTTCATCTCAGAATCCTCAACTTAATCACATCTACAAAGGTCTTATTTCCAAATAAGCTAACATGTACAGGTTCCAGAGATAAGGACCCGATGCCTTTGGGAGACATAATTCAGCCTAGTATAAATATAGAGTTTTTAAAACTAAAAATATTACACAATGACAATAAACATGCAAGACAGTATTGAGTGGTGTTTAAAAAGGTCAGTTGATCCCTTCCTCTCCTTCTATGTAATAGAATTGAGGAGAAGAAAAGCAGCAGAATATCCTCATGTTATGGACTATCTCCTCCTTTTGTGCCACTCTAACCTCCCAACCTCATGATCAAATTTTTAACTTCTTTGAGTGAAAAAAATTCTACATCCATTCATTGTATCTTTTAATCTGATTCCGTATTCCAATTGCCTTATGAAATAACTTGTATTTATAAAAATCTCAGGCAATATCTCAATGTATTTCCTAAAAGAGCCTGAAAATTATTTTTAAAACATTTGAATATAGACGTTTTAACAATATTGATTCTGCCAATCCATGAGCATGGTATGGTTTTCCATCTGTTCACATCCTCTAAAATTTCTTTCTTGTGCTTTGTAGTTCTCATTATATAATTATCTCACTTCCTTAGTTAAATATATTCCTAAATATTTTATTTTCTTTGATGCTATTGTGAAAGGTATTGTGTCTTCAATTTGATTCTCGACTTGACTGTTATACTACCCAAAGTGATCTACAGACTCCATGCAATCCCTATTAAAATACCAATATCATTTTTCACAGGTCTAGAAAAAATATTTCTACACTTTGTATGGAACCAGAGAAGACCCCATATAGCCAAAGTAACCATAAGCAAAAAGAACAAATTGGGAGGCATCAGTCAGCCAGAATTCAAGCTATACTACAAGGCTATAATAACCAAAAGAGCATGATAGTAGCATAAGAACAGAGACATAGAACAATGGGACAAGACTAGGAATCAAGATATAAAACCATCCTCATATTGTCATCTGATCTTTGACAAAGCAGACAAAAATATACACTGGGAAATCCTATTCAATAAATGGTACTAGGAAAATTGGATAGCCACATACAGAAAACAGGATCTGCACTTTTCAACTCTCACAAAAATCAACTCACAATGGATCACAGACTTAAACTAAGGTATGTAACCATAAGAATTTTAGAAGAAAATGGAAAAACTCTTATAGACATTGGCCTATGCAAAAATTTATGAAGAGGATCCCAAAAGCAATCACAGCAACCACAAAAATAAATGAATGGGACATGATCAAATTAAAAAGCTTCTGCACAGCCAAGGAAACTATCATGAGAGTGGACAGACAACCTACAAAATGGGAAAAAATATTTGCATGCTACACATCCAATAATGGGCTGATAACTACAATCTGTATAGAACTCAGGAAAATTCAAAAGAAAAAATCAAACAACCACATTAAAAATTGAGAAAAGGACATAAAGAGAAACTTTTCACTAGATGATAGACTAATGGCCAAGAAACATATGAAAAATTGCTCAACATCTCCAATCATCAGGGAAATGCAAATCAAAACCACAATGAGATATCACTTAACTCCAGCGAGAGTGGCCTTTATCAAAAATTCCCAAAACAACAAATATTGGCATGAATAAGGGGAGATAGGAACATTCATACACTGCTGGTGAGACTGCAAACTGGTACAACCTCTATGGAAAGTAATTTGGAAATACCTCAAAGAACTAAAAGTAGAACTACCATTTGATCCAGCAATCTCAACACTGGGTATTTACCCAAAGGAAAAAAAGACATTTTATAATGTTTATGGCAGCATAATTTGCAATTGCAAAAATGTGTAAACAATCTAAGTGCCTATCAATATGTGAATGGATTAGTAAAACATGGTATATGTATGGAGTACTACTGTACTCCATGGAGTAGTACCATGGAGTACTACTCAGCCATAAAAAACAATGGTATTATCTTGTATTATCCTTGATGGAGCTGGAACTCATTTTTCAAAGTGAACTATCACAAGAATGGTACTCACCACAGGTACTCACCATTAAATTGGCACTAATCAATTAACACTTCTGTGCACATATGGAAGTAACATTCATCTAGTGTGGGGCAGGTGGGAGAGGGGAAAAAGGGATGGGTAAATTCACGCCTAATGGGTGCAGTGTGCACTTTCTGGGGGATGGGCACACTGTATCTCTGACTTGGGTGGGGCAAAGTCAATATATGTAAACCAAAGTGTCTGTACCACTGTAATATTCTGGAAAAAAAAAGAAAGAAAGAAACACATAATCACATGCACTTGTTGTTACATGGAGCAAAAACAACAACAACAAAATTTATATAGAAAATGTAATATGTGTTTAAAAACAGAATAATTTGCTTTGTTACTTCTTGCTTATTTTTCTTTATCTTCTTGTTCTTAATCTTATCCTATTTATTGCCAAATTTCTACTCTATATTTTCTCCTTTGCTTAGTAAAGAACAAAATAACTTCTTAACATTCTTGCTCTTTCTAGTCTCTTCATAAGTATAAATAAACTAAGGTCATCAATTCTTATGTGTTGAATTGTGTTTCTCCAAAAATATATGTTAGAGAGTCCTAAAACCCCTTACCTCAGAAATTCAACCTTATTTAGAAATAGGATATTTACAAATGTAATGAAGTTACAATGAGGTCATGAGAGTGGACCCTAATGTAATCTGACTAATGTTCTTATAAAAGGGGAAATGTGCACCCAGAGACAGACACAGTGATGACAAAGGGAAGACACACAGGCAGGAAACGGCCATGTAATCAGAGTAGTGCATCCACAAACCAAGGAATACCAAGTATTTCCAGAAAGTACCAGAAGATACTAGTGACAAGGAAGGATTATCCCCTAGAGAATCCTTGTCAGAGAAAGTACAACCCTGCTGGCACCTTGATTTTGGATTTCTGGCCTCCAGAACTCTGAGACAATAAATTTCTGTTGTTTTTGAGAAACCCAGTATTTGGTAGGAAAAGAATACATTAATAAACAATGAAATAACTAAAGATAGAATTGTAATGCATTATAATTATATGTGCTGTTCAGAATGACAGGCTATATCAAATGTCACCACCCAAAGGGATCATCTGGAGGAGAGAAGTGTGAGTCATGCTAATAAAAAGAGAAGTTCAGAAGAGTAATTGAGGAAATCAGTTAATGCAACCTAGAATGGCTGCCTGTTGCCCAAGATGTCTTGCAATTAATTACTCCACTTAAAAAGAATTCACTGATCTCAGAATGCTGCTTTTTTGAGGAGACTCAGAGAAGATCTAGTAATGTTTCGTGCATCCCTTGGGACTCTCTATACTTCGCTACCATGGTGAGGCCTTCCCTACCCCTCATGCTTGGGAGCATTGACCTCTCTACCCTTTCTGATCCCATTGTTCTCTGTATACATCTCTATTTATTTAAGCCCTTTTCACACTGTATTTACAATTATTTGTTTCTGTTTCTTTCTCTTCCACTAGTCTGATGGTTTCAAATAACTATGCATTGGCACATTACAGGTATTCAGTACATATTATTGGAAGGATAGAATGAACTGGAGACTATAGAGGTCAAGTGATTCGCACAATGTCACTGCAATAACATATTTTATTTTGTGTTTAAAATTCCTAACAGATTTAAAATAAAAAATGATGAGAAATTTTTGATTTTACTACAACAAAGAGATATTGATTTCTCTGGGTGAATCTAAATGCTCCTTTCTTTCTTTCATCTGCTCCTTCCCCTATGAGAAGTAGAAATATTGACATGCATGGGCAAAGCTTATTTATTGGACTAACTACATAGGAAAGGAAGTGCTTGATGTGATGAGGAAAGGGAGAGTAACCTTGGCATGCCCATGGAAGATTCTTGCCTTGTCACTTTTTTTGTCGATTTTCTATTTCTTTCCTTTTTTTTTTTTTGCTGACCGCAGAATGATCTGGAGTAATGGAATTAAACAAGGTTGGCTCTAAAGCTTGTGGAGAAATGAAGCATTGGGAAATAAAGCTGTGGTAAACCTTAACTACATGAAGATGGTAGAGGTGAGCAAAGTTCTGAGCTAGTGGCATGGAGAAGGGTTGGGAGGGTGCGGGGCACATATCCCCTCACTTTATATCTGGGGAGTCAGAAACCATCTAAGGTGGGTGAATCCATAAAAGAGTTGTAAATGTATTTTTGAGCCTCTAACAAGACAAAATAAAAACATTAAAAAATATATAACTAATAAACATTAGTGGAAGAACAAGGGAATAGAGGTAATAAAAGTGAGCTATATTTCTCATGTTTTAGGGCAAGAAGTCAATTGGTACTACTTAGCCTAAATAAAGAAATAGAAATATAAACATATTACTCAGAATTATGAAGGAGACTATGAGAAGAATTAAGATAGTCAAATTACCTAAGGAGATAGCTATGAGTAAGAAACAGGGAGAAGACATATTTTGATTTTATATTTCTCTTTGCTGTTTAAATGTTTTATTTTCCAGTGTGTCTATTCTAATAGTGATATTGAAATATTTCCTTTTATGAATATTATATCAATTAGAGTACTTTCTTGGCAAATAAACAGAGTGATTGGATCTGGGTGACTCTTGCAGTTTATCTCCTAGAACAAGAAACTATGAGATCTGAAGTATCTCTGGCTCCATTTCTTCATGCCTGGTTTGTCCTGCCCTCTTCTATGTGCGGGTACCATTTTCAGACTCATGATAGGTTCAGACATAGCATCAGTAAGGGATGCTGTTGGTGCCCTGCCCAAATACCCTTCACTAGAACAGCTCAACTTGTTCCTAAGCTGCTGTGAGAATTGCATATGGCCACGTAGGAGCCACCTTTCCTGCTAGGGAATGCTCCTTCTTCTCAGGGTAGAGGAAAGAGTGAAAAACAACAATGACTAATGACTGACTAACATGGGGATACAAAAGAACAGCCTATTGCCTCAAACTGGGACCAACTTCATGTTGCAGTTTTTGCTCCAGGGCTTCTTGTAGGACCAGGTTGAAGCCAATCTTCACTGGAGAATACATTCTTGCTTAGTTTTCTTCCAGCACTCTGTTCTGCTTCCCTCACTCCTCTTCTCCAGAGAGTACACCCTCAGTACAAACCTTTCATGAGAATTCACATCTCTGCTGCTTCCCTAGGGAGCCTAGCCTAAGTTAAGATACCATCTCTGGATCTCATTCATCCCAGAATTTCCCTCATCCATCTCCAGCTGACTTCCACCCTTGCTCATCTTCTGAAAATGCATCACATGCCCAGACCAACTATGGGTCAAGGAAATGACATTACTGTCATTACCTTAGACACCTGGGATTGGGTGGATGTGGGGGAATCAATCATCAAAACCACTACAAATATTAAGGGATCTGACCATGGTTGTCTTGGCATGGGGCACTGGTAAATCAATTTCTGTTTTGATTCCACCACACCAAATCTGAAAGTGCAGGAAACTGGGATGAGCATGCATAAATTATTTGAGTAAATGTATAAGCTCTTGTTAACTTCAAAGAAACACTATTTTTCCAGGTTGTCTAATTCTCAGGCAATGCCAATGCCACAAGTCTCTAAAGTCATTTTTAAAACTTTAACGGGAGTACATTACTTCTTTGGGAGATGATTCTGCAAAGGAATAATGCCACATTTCATGATTTTCACTGCACAATGACACATAGTTAAAGTTGACAAAGAAAGCTTCTTTTCTTTCCTGAGCACAAATCTGCTAGAAAATGCTGCCAGACTAAAAAACCCAGTCATCCTGAAACCAAAAGGTCAGGACAAAACATACAAATCAAAGTTTCTCAGTCTATTATAAACAAAACTCATGCGAAATAAATTTTTCCAGGCAATGATGACATCACCAAGGAGCAATAAAAATTATCTGTTTCTTCAATTTGTGAAGAAGTTAGAAAATTGAAGCAAATGGGGTGATAATATAGGGTTGTTTCTTCACTAATACTCTTTGACCTACCTCTCCCCAGATTCCAAGCTCCACACTGGCACTATAGCTCCATATTTTCTGGCTCTCCTTTCATTTTTAAGAAAACACACCGAAATAAAGTAAGAATTGAGCTGACAGCCAGGGAGACAAGATGTAGTATTTATTATATGAGAAAATGAAAATATATGGCCTTTACTCTTTTGTGCTTTCAATTTTCCAGATCTTAAAATGGTTTTTATTTTTTGGTTTTGTTTTGTTTTATGACTTCCTCAGGAGAAAATATGAAGGCGAATGTCATTATCTGAAAAGTAAATCAAATTTCTCACAAAGAGGGAGCAATTAACTATGCCCTGTATAGCCCTATGTAGTGTTCCAAGCATTTAGAAAACAGAAAATAAACTCTAGAAAATTTAGAGCTCAAGAAAGTGTAGAAAATGGAAACTAAAGTCTATAGAAAACTTAGATCTCATGAAGTGACAGTGACCACGTAGAGATACATCTCTGATGTGCAAGGCTCCACAGTGAGATGAAAATCATCTTGCCTTGATGGAGTCTAGAAATTGAAATTCTGGTCCTTGCTTTACTACTTGCTCACTGTGTGACCTTGCACAAGTCACTTAACCTTCCTAGTTTGAAATTTCTTACTCTGGAAACATTAGGAGATGATAATAATAGTAACGATGATGATGCTGTTAATTGTACATGATGACATTATATTTGCCCGGCACACACAATGTGAAAAGCACTGTGTAGAATGTTTATTAATCCATATGTCTCATTTTCTTTTCTCGGAAAACTCTGATATAGGTATGTGAATTCCTATTTTATAGAATCAGTCTATCTGTTAAGAGGCGTTTGGTGCCAAGCCCCACAGGAAACCTAATCAATTGATCTATCCAGTAAGAAGGACTGAGTATTTCCCGTAATAGAAAGTCTCAAGCTCTGTCAGTGCAGCAACCCGTGATGTTCCCAAGGCCAAAAGCAGTGGCATCTCTTCCTTCTGCTGTCCTGTTTCTGCCACGTGGACTCCCAGCGCGACCCTTCCTGCTCACGAGATGGCTGCTGCGGTTCTGAAGCCACATCCTCCATAGCGGTGAGTGCTGGCCGGCAGAAAAGGCTATTTCTGTCAATGGATCTCTTCAGGAGAAAGGAAAATTTCCTCATAATTCTCCCGGGCTGATCTCCTTTATGTCTTGTTGACCAGAAATGAGTAATGTGTCCATCTCCAAAACAATCTCCGGAAGGAGCCATGCAATTACCACAATCTCTTTAGACCGAGTCTGATTGATCCTGAGTTGAAGGAGAGGCTCTGCCACACCCAAAGCTGAACAAAATAAGGGATGGGGCCATGGGTATTGAACATTCTGACACTAGCAAACAGGGGGCCAAAAATACAAGTTTTTTGCCCAAAATCAAAGCTAGTGAGAGGCAGAGGCAGGACTTAAATCTAAGTCTATCTGACAACACACACTCTGATCAGTTCTGAAATCTTTCCCTGAATCCTGTTGTATCGTGTTCCCAAATAAGAAATTTTACAGAAAGGCTAAATCATTTGCAAGGTACATTTTGGAAAACCCACTTAAGCAATTAACTTTAATTTTAAATTAGAAATTCCTTTATTCATGTGTTAGAGATCAGCACAATTTAGTAGTTGAAAATAGTTGGCCTATTTTCACATAAAAATGAATTTTTGTTATAATTATTGGGAAAACACTTCTGCTTTGGAACAAGCAGTGGGACAATGTAATATTGAGAAAAGACTTCTGCAAAAGTAACCAACAATGTTTTTATTCTCTCATTCATCAGTTTTTGTTTGCCTCTGAGACAACCCCCTTCTTAGTCAGCTTGTACTCAGCCTTTTTATGAATTCAGGTACCCAAAGCTATTGTCTTCACTCTACAAATTCCATTCTGCTGATGGCAACAATGTCTTCTAAATTTATTTTTGCTGTCTTTCAACTCAATCAGGTATTTAAGCTTGGAAAAACAAAATGAAATTAAGCAAATGGCATTTTAAACAATCTGAGATTATAAATGTATTTATGAATAGACAAAAGTTATTGTTAATATTAGTTTGAACAAATTAGCTCAAAATTTAGCAACTTAAAACATTTTATTTTGCTTATGATTTTGTGGTTGGTAATGCAGGATAATCTCAGCTAAGGGTTTTACTTGTGGTCTCTCAAATCGTTTTGGTCAGATATTGGCGAGAGCCCCAGTCATTTGAAGATTGGACTTCCAAAATGGCTCATTCTGCTGGGCCTGTCAACCAGAGAAAGTGTACATTGCCTCTCTAGAAGCCCTGGGATTTTCACTGCATAATTGCTGAGTCTTGAGAGGGGTGTCCCCATGGGAAGCATTCAGGCATCACGGGTTCTAAGAGGCAAGGCAGGAGTTGATGGTTTCTTCTGATCTAGCCCTGGGAGTCCCAATGTCGCTTTTCCTGGATTCTCTCGGTTAAAAGGAGACTCTGGTTGCAAGGAGCATTTGACTCTCCAATGCTAAAGGAATGAAAAGAGGAATGATAAATAATTTGTGACTATCTAGTTCATATTTTTTCTAGTTCAAATATTCATATTTTTTAAAGTATAGTTTTAAAAGAACTCACCTTCACCAAAACGAAGTCCTGGAAGCAAAAAAGTGTGTCGTCCATAAACTATGATATGGTAATTGCTATGTAAAGGAATCTGTGCTTTTGTTGGATATCATCTGGTAGACAAAAAGAAGGAATATTATCACTCAAACAATATATCTAGTTTTGATGGGCAATACTTAAGCAATTGTCTGTTTGTGACTTTTTTTCCCACCTTTGATTTTTCCAGGAAAACTTCAACTAAATCTTGATTTGTTTGACTTGAAATCATGCAGTCATATTTTCCTCTAATCAGTCAAAGAAAACAAAATTCTTTTCAGACTGGGCAGGAAAGTATTATCACAGTTGTTTTCACCCAAAAGAACAAATTTAAATAGGATTCACTTAATCAAAGACAATAAAAAGGTAGAAAGAAAATTGGAAGTGTTTATTGTCATCCTTCCTGGTCCAGTCTTCTCAAACCTTAATGTATGTGTGAATTCTATGGAAAATTTAAACTCTTGATTCTTATTCAGTAGGTCTTGGGTGGGGCTAGAAATATGCATTTTCAAAAGTTCCTAGGAAATATTGATGCTTCTGGGTTAAAAAACCACATTTTGGCTAGTGAAGGGGTAAATTAACTTAGAAATAATTGGATTTGACTGGGAGGGGAGACATTGGAAAATGGAACTGGTGGAAAGTTGCTATATGCTTAGCTGGATTTTCAAGAGTAACAAATTTGAATGCATTTAAAATTCTTCTTAATCTTTGATTTTTTAAAAAGCCATTTAATGTTTACTAATGGTAAAATATATGAAAATATGCAGAAATGAAAATACTATCAGGTTCTATTTCATAATGAATTTTAATGAAGGAAATTATGAGAAATATAACCTATTACATTAACTCATAATAACAGCTAAATTCATGATGAAAAATATGGCACATTACTATAGCTGAGTTCAGGAATCCATTTTCCTGAGAATAAAAATAAAGCTGATGACATTAAATGGCTTTGATTGATATTTTAAAAAATATTTAAAATACTAAAACAGATAATGAAATAGGAGGTCTCAGGCATCCCTCCCACCCACAACCTCTAGAAGATCAAGTAACAACTATCTCTATTACTGTCACCTTCATGAGCTCTAAATTTTCTATACAGTTTATTTTCCATTTTCTAAACTTTCATGAGCTCAAATGTGACAGTTTGTTTTCTGTTTTCTAAAAGCTTGGAACACTCTCTGCATAGGGTTACATAAGGCGCAGTTTAATTACTCCCTCTTTGTAAGGAATTTGATTTACTTTTCAGATAGTGACATTCTTCTTCATATTTTCTCCTGAGGAAGTCATAAAAGAAAACCAAACCCAAAAAACCCATTTTAAGATATGGAAAATCTCACATGGTAGTGATACTCATTGGGTGCAGGTCAGGTGGAGGGTGGAGGTGGGGGTAGAGCTTGTGGGGTGGGTAAACCCACAGCTAATGGACACGGGGCACACTGTATGGGGTAAGGACATGCTTGTGGCCCTGGCTTGAGTGAGGCAAATGCATTTCATGCAACCAAAATGTTTGTACCCCCATAATATCCTCAATTTAAATAAATAAAAAGTAAAACTAAGATATGGAAAACGGAAAACACAAAAGAGTAAAGACCATATATTTTCATTTAATATTCTATTATACAAGAATTTTATAATTTTTTCAATAATCCCTATTCATTTAAGTTGCTTCTATTTTTCCCTATTTTGTAATACCATAAAAAGCATTCTTAAGGCCGGGCGCTGTGGCTCACGCCTGTAATCCTAGCTCTTGGGAGGCCGAGGCGGGCGGATTGCTCAAGGTCAGGAGTTCAAAACCAGCCTGAGCGAGACCCCGTCTCTACTATGAATAGAAAGAAATTAATTGGCCAACTGATATATATATATAAAATTAGCCGGGCATGGTGGCGCATGCCTGTAGTCCCAGCTACCCGGGAGGCTGAGGCAGAAGGATCACTCGAGCCCAGGAGTTTGAGGTTGCTGTGAGCTAGGCTGACGCCACGGCACTCACTCTAGCCTGGGCAACAAAGTGAGACTCTGTCTCAAAAAAAAAAAAAAAAAAAAGCATTCTTAAATGCTTATTTTTGCACACGCTTCCCATTTATTCTTATGAAACTCTTTTTGTTTTACCTATGAGAGGTAAAATTCACATCGCACAACCCAAGGAAGCACCATTTTCATAGAATACAAGGTAAGTGGCACCCCTGCACTTATGCAGTGTGAGGCAACACTGTCGAGGTATTGATGCTTCATGCTCCCTGACTAGAGGCCATCTGTCCCCTTCCGGCCAGTGCGAGGGGATGCCCAGAGGAGATTCTCATGAGGAAGAAACAAGATGATCAGCAGCCAAACAGGAGGATGTTTACTGAATGCCCAACGCTAAAGAGCTGAGCGTCAGTACTAGAAGTGTTACAAAATACGGAAACACAGAAAGAGAGCTACGCTATGGAGTGGCTTCACTACTTATTAATAATCAAAGTAAGTAATACTGCAAAATAATGTAACTGTTAGGCTGAACCCAGACACTAGTGGGAGGTTCCATGGGAACTTTCCCTTTAAACTGGCCCCGCCCCTTTTAGGGCCCACCCAAACTCCACCCCTTTGAGAGCCCGCCCAAACCCCACTGTAAAACCCTAGATGCAGGTCATTTCAGGGCTGATGCTATCTTGGACTCAGCCCATCAATTTGCAGACGCTAAACTTCTTTTTACCTTATACCGGCTTCGTGCGTTCCTCCCTCAGCGTTTCTAACAGTAAGGAGTTTGATCTTTCAGACTCCATGCTCAGGGAGTGAAACTTTAATCTCTGTTTAAGATCATATTTCACCTTGAAATACTTGAAAATCTAGTCGAACAAATTAAGGGTAAATGGAATTTGTCTCAGTTGCTTCTGGTATAAACTCAGCAAAATCAAGGTTTCCTTTAATCCCTCTGCCCCTCTGCTCCCTGGACTACTCCTAAGCTCTGACTCATGCATTGCTCTACCATCACTGGAACAGAGTTTCGAGTCCAGGGCAGTTGGCATCTGTCCCTGCTGTCTTCCTCCACTGGCCGGAAGGGGACAGATGGCCTCTAGTCAAGGAGCATGAAGCATCAATACCTCAACAGAGTTGTCTCACACTGCATAAGTGCAGGGGTGCCACTTACCTTGTATTCTATGAAAATGATGCTTCCTTGGGTTGTGTGATGTGAATTTTATCTCTCATAGGTAAAACAAAAAGAGTTTCATAAGAATAAATGGGGAGCATGTGCAAAAATAAGCATTTAAGAATGCTTTTTATGGTATTACAAAATAGGGAAAAATAGAAACAACTTAAATGAATAGGGATTATTGAATAAATTATAAAATACTTGTATAATAGAACATTAAACGAAAATATATGGTCTTCACTCTTTTGTGTTTTCGATTTTCCAGATCTTTATTTTTAATTTTAATTTATTTATTTATTTAAATTGAGGATATTATGGGGGTACAAACATTTTGGTTGCATTAATCAGTGCATATACTGGGATCTCTCCAGCCCCGTCTGCTCTCCCATCTGCATCCTCCTCAACCTGGCAGGGAGATCACTTCAGGCCTGTGGTCTACTCTCAGCCACTTCCTTCCAATTCACAGGAGCTGGAGAGAACATTTGTTTATTCGTCTGCACTTTTCCAGATGGTGTATGTTGTCGGTAGAGTGGGGTTTGAGGGGGGAGCTTCAGCCCCCTTTACCTGAACATACTATGCTACCATTGCTCTTTTAAGGCTGCCTCAGCATGCTTGGGTAGGAAGAGGAGGAAGGAGCAGGAAAAGGCTACTCTGACAAGCTCGGAAACTCTCTGGAGTTCCTCAAAACGAAAGTGAAGTACAAATACTCTGTGACCTCAGATTCCCAAGCCTATCCAAGTTTTGTCCTCTACTCCACTCATGCACAGGGATTCTGTCCCAAGCAAGAGAAAAAAAGTGCTGGGTCTAGAAACTTTCTTGTTTGTATTCCCTTATTCCCCCCCATTTGTCCCCAGGCTAGTAAGACCTTTATCTAGTCTATGGTGGCAAGGTCATCTAGCATCTCATCTATTCTCTTTCCAATATATTGTTCAGGGCCAAGTTATATGTAATCGTGAAAATCAAAAGCCTTGGCTGTGAAGACTACAAATTTTTGCCCCCTTAGGTCTCAGTGCATGTATAGGTGTCTTGTCTACAGTGACGCCTCCATCACAGAAGCCAAGATGGAGCTGAGCATAAGACCAGCTCTCCGCTGACCACCACTACCAGGGCTCAAAAAGTGCCTAGCACCCTGAGTAATACCCCTTTTGCAGCAGGATTTCCTGTCTTCATCAAATGGAGTCAAATGAGAGTCCCCCAAATCTTCCTGCTCCTGCCGCATCACCTCCTCAACTGTTCCATGCACATTTTAGGCACCTACGAATCTCAAGGCCTACAGCGTTCTTCCCTCAGATATCTGCTCCTTCATTGCCCTGTGACTTTTCTCAAATTCATCTCCACGAGGGCCTTCCTAGGGAGGGAAATTTTATCCTACATAAAATTTCAGCTCCTTATCTGCTATGGTTTGAATGTGTCCCCTCCAAAATTCATGTTGAAACTTAATCTCCATTGTGTTAGTTATTAAGGGTGGTGCCTTTGAGGAAGTGACGAAGTCGTGAGGGCTCCACTCTCATGAATGGATGGGGTGGGGAATCTGCAGCGCTGGGGCCACATATGGCCATCTAGATCCTTGAGTGGGACCTTTTGACTGAATCCAAATTTTACAGAACACATCCTTTTAATAAATTCCTGGAAGGGACTAGCTTAGGCCTCTTTTTGCCCTTCTGCTTTTGCCAGGCAAGAACACAGAGTCTTCACCTATGGAGGATGCAGTTACAAGGTACAATCTTGGAGGCAGGGAATGAAGCTCTCATCAGACACCAAACCTGCTGGCATGTTGATCTTGGGCTTTTCAGTCTCCAGAACTATGAGAAGTTAATTTCTATACTTTATAAATTACCTAGCCTCAGGTGTTTTGTTATAGCAGCAGAAACAGACTGAGTCACTGCCTGTATTTAGTAACTACATTCCTTGTGTTATAATTTTTCCTAAGCAATTATCACAAGAGTACAAGTACTTTTTTTCTTATTATCTGTCTGTCTCTCTCATGCATATAAGTGCCAAGAGAGCAGGAATTTTTATTTGTGCTTTTTATTGCTATAATGCCTATTATATATATAAAAATTATATTCAGTCTGGAGAGATTTAAGGAGTAATCCAACAGGGAAAAGGGACTAGGCAAGGAGGAGTGGGGGGACTATTGAACAGGAAGAACACTCCAACAATGAGATGTGAAAGCATGTCAATGGTCAGCTAGCAAAGAGCTTTCTTTCACAGGGAGGAGTAAGTGAGGCTGGAAAGAACCAGGGGTGGAAAGTGAAATGAGCAGATGGTGGGATTGGACTGGGAATTGGACAGGTTGATGAGGGAATGCTTTCCCTGAGGTCAGCCAATTCTTTCCGTTAAGGAGAAAAGGAGGGGTTATTCCACATTCCAGTGGTCAAGGGTGCACCAAAGTTCTGTTCCTCCCCGAGGGAAGGAGAGAAGCCTAACTAAAGTTTGATCAACCCAGATTAGTGGGCATTTTTTGCAGATTGGTAGTGGAAACAAACATTTCATAAATGTTTATTATCATTTATGAGGCAGAGAATGGGAATTTGGAGGGTCTGTGTCTGGCCTTGTTGTAGCTAAGCACAGGGGACATCACTGAGTCTTATCTAAGTCATATGGAGCAGGGTGCTTCTCTGCAGCAAGCTGTTTAAGGCAACACAAAAGGGTGATTCTCACTGATTTCCCAGGATTCTGGGGCTCAGGTAAAGTTCAATATTGTCAGCCAGTGCCTAAAACAGTGCCTACCGTAGAATAGGTACTCAATAAATATTTGTTGAATAAAGGAATTAATTAATACCTGCTTAGAAAAGAGAAGAGAGGTGAAAGGATAACCAGACCAGGCAGGAAGGAATGGGGAGGAAGCCCGATTATTGTCTCAGATTTACCTTCTCAGATTTACCTTACCTTAATCACATAGTACTGTGGTTACCAGTGAGGGCTCATTAGGGGCCAAGCATTGTGCTAAGTGTGTTATATGCATAATCTGGTTTCAGTTCTGACTGAGGTGTGACAACTGGGATGCCTTGGCTTTTGCCTGTTGGTGTTTGAAATGGGCTGATTGGTGAGGATAGCTAAAGACCGACTATGTTCTCATCTGAAATTGCCTTTGAAAAAAGAAAAAAACAGAACAAGTTAAAAATTTTTTTTCTCAGGTTTTATAAATTTGTTATTAAGCTCTATATGCAAGTTTTCTTTTAAGAGAGTCAAGGAACATGTCTATAACCTTTGTAACCTTGTATTTCTTATGTTTCAGGCTAGGGGCTGCCTACAAATTTATATACACAAAATACTTCATAATCCCTCAACAAAGATGTCACATTAAAAGTACAAGTATCCAATTCAAGTTAATCTCTCAACAAAAGCAAATATGTCTATTTAACTTTTTTCATTGTTCTTAAAGAGGAACAAAAGAAGAAAAACCACTGCCTACTACACAGCATCAGAGTTCCTTTATGTAATATCTCAGGAAAAGGAATTTATTTGAAAATTTTGAAAGACTATGTTCCTCTACTCTATTTCTAGAAGGAGAGTGCTCATTATAGTCATTATCTGTTACTGGATTCTTACCATGTGGAGTGCACTCTACTACAAAGTTAACCTTTCTCTAAAAGGTTACTCCTGCAATTCTGGAGTTATATAAAATTAAAAATGGTGACTTGATTTTGCATTTAGTAGAAAAGACAGTAGAGAACTTTGCAGTTCTTCTTACCTCAACTAAAGCTTCATAGAAACAAAGAGATTTCTATTGCAACTCTGAAATTTATCTATTGTGACATATTTAATTACAGGAAATTAAATTGTGTTTGACTTTAAAATATTGAATCCATTATTTACTTCTGAATATATAATGGCTGAAAGTCTTTGTTATTCAAAAAATTATAAAATTATATGTGCCAAACTCTAAATTATAAATTTAACATGTATTAGCAAGGCCTTATTTTTGAACAAGATTAGTAAATAGTACATTTAATTAACACTTAACTATTATAAAGTACTTAGCAAGAATGCTTTCAAAAGCATTTTGTATTACTTAATGAGATTAGAATGGATTAATGTAAATGCCAGAGTAAATAAAAGTTCCTTTTATTCAAATATAAATTAAATTTCCCCTGGAAAAAATGTGGCATGATAATTTTTTTAATTCCTTGCATTCTTTCTATGTAAAAATATTTCAGATACATTCTAAAGTGCATTAATTAGTATAGCATTTGGAAATAATGTAGCCATGTAAAATGGTTGTATGCTATTTGCATGATTTGAACACGCTGCCATCAAGTGGTGGTGCTCATTTTTTATAGCTGGAGGAGCAGATGCCGGGCTAAGAGGGTTATGCCTCGAACTTGAGAAAGTCAGCTTGTACAGGCAAAGCTTCCTTCAGGCCTTTGAAAGAAGCTCAGTCTCTGTGAAATATTTCTCATGACAGCTCATTTGGGACCAACCCCATTTCTCTCTCAGTTCTAAGGCCTCCTCTTTGAGCTTCGACTACTTGGTGTGAAATTTGTCTGTGAACTCACTCTAACTCCAAAGTCTGACATCTGCTTCTACTTAGTTACTCACTCTCATTTGCTCCCAATACTGTGTTGGCCTCACAGTCTAAGTCCTTCTTTGTTCATGGCATCTCACCTGGCAGCTCTGGCTTTACTTATTTATTAACTAAACATTTATATGGCATATACTATGGGCCAGGCACTGTACTAACCTCTTAACCAAATATCAACAAATATTGACTCGTTTCATCTGCACAGCAACACCATGGAATAGTTTCTCTTATTATCAACCCCATTTTATAGATGAGGGGACTAAGACATGGGGAAATTAAGTAACTTGAAGAACTGGGACTCAAACCCAGGCACCCTGATTCCAGAATCTCTGCTCTAAACTTCTACAGTCTATACTGCCATTGTCAGATAGTACTGGATGACAGGACATGCTCTGAACAGTCGTCTTTATGCCCTATGCATAGGTACCATGTGTACACCAATCCTGGATATTTAAGACGCATAAATTCAATGAACATTAAACAAATACTATATTTTAAAATAAGTAAGAACACCTTAGAGAGTATTAAAAATCTAGAGTACAACAATTTGATTCCTTTTCCACCTATCTTTAACTCTTGCTTTATTATTTCCAGCCTAATTTCATACATGGTTTTGAATTAAATAATTTAGTTGTTACTTATGTTGAGTCTAAATGGTCATGCAAGTTGGAAGAGATTTTCCAAGAGCTATATCCTCTTCTTTTGGGTTAGCTGGTCTTTTTCTCTGGATTTTAGGTGCTTCTATTTCCTATTTTATTTTCCTCTTAGCTACAGGAAGAACTACATAAAGTAGTGGTTCTCAAATTTTTGGTCTCAGGACCTCTTCACACCCTTAAACATTATGAAGAGCATCTGTTTATGTAGACTGTTCTCCATCAATGTTTACCATATTAGAATTTAAAACTGAGAATTTTAATTATATTTATTGCTAATTTATTTATAAATAATAAACCCATGACATATTAATATAAATAACAAATCTTTATGAAAAATATATTTTCCAAAGCCAAAAATATTTTGTGAGATAGTGGAATTGTTTCATATTTTTATAAATGTCTTTAATTTTTTTTCTTTATCAACCAAAGTCCAGAGTTTACATTTAGGTTCATTCTTGGTGTAATGTAGCCTATGAGTCTTGACAAATGTGTAATGACATGTATCCATCATTATAGTAACATACAGAATAGTTTCAGTACCCAAAAATTGCTCTGTGTTCTGACTATTCATTGTCTCTCTCCCCTCACCCATAGGACAACTACTGATTTTGTTTTCACGGTCTCCATAGTTTTGCCTTTTCCAGAGTGTCATATCATTGCAATCATACAATTTTTGCAGATTGGCTACCTTCACTTAGTAGTATGCATTTAGGTTCTTCCATGTCTTTCTATGGCTCAATAGCTCATTTATTTTTAGCATTGAAAAATATTCCATTGTTTGGATATACCACAATTTATTTATCCACTAACCTACTGAAGGACATATTAGTTGCATTCAAGTTTTGACAATTGTGAATAAATCTTGCTTAAATATCCATGTTCAGGTTTTTGTGTGGATATAAGTTATCAGCTCATTTGGGTGAATATCAAGGAGTACAATTTCTAGACCACATGGTAAGCGTATGTTTAGTTTCCTGAGAAACTGCTAAACTATATTCTAAAGTTGATGTCCCATTTTTCATTCTGACCAGCAATGAATGATTGTTTCCATTGCTCCATATCCCCGCTAGCTTTTGATATTGTCAGTGTTTTAAATTTGGGCCATTCTCATAGGTTATATAGCATCTAATTGTTGTTCTAATTGCAATTCCCTAGTGACACAATGATGAGCATCTTTTCATATGTTTATTTGCCATCTGTATATCTTCTTTGGAGAGGACTTTTGACCATTTTTTAAAAAAACTTGGGTTGTTAATTTTATTGTTGAGTTTTAAGAGTTCTTTGTATATTTTGAATAACAGTCTTTATGAGATAAGTCTTTTGCAAATATTTTCTCAATGTCTGTGATTTTCCATTTTCTTGAAATTGTCTTTCACAGAGGAATTTTTAATTTTAACCCTTTGCACTCAGATGTCGAGTGTGGATAATGTCGAGTGGATAATGAGAAAAAAGCAAGCGAGTGCAAAGGGTTAATAAAGTCCAGTATATCAATTATATCTTTCATGGATCTTCCCTTTGGTGTTATCCTAAAAATTCATTGCTATACTAAGGTCACTTAGTTTACCTTATGTTATTTTCTAGGAGTTTCATAGTTTTAAATTTTATATTTAGGTTTATGATCCATTTTGAGCTATTTTTTTATGAAGGGTGTAAGCTCTGTGTATAGAGTCTTTTTTTTTTTTTTTGCATATGGATGTCTAGTTGTTCTGTCACCATTTATTGAAAAGACTCTTTATTCCATAGTATTGCCTTTGTTCCTTTTCCAAAGATCAGTTGTATATCTTTATGTGAATTTATTTCTGGTCTCTCTATTTGGTTCCCTTGATCTATTTGTCTATCATTTTGCCAATACTATACTCTCTTGATTACTGTAGCTTTATAGTAAATCTTGAAGTCGGATAGCACAGTCCTCCAACTTTGTTCTTTAATATCGAGTTGGCTATTCTGGGTCTTTTGACTTTCCATATAAACTTTAAAATCAATTAAATTTTAAAAATTTTCTGTAAAGAATCTTTCAGAATGACAAACAGCTTGGCATCTTTGTTCTTGTTAGCAAACTGCATCCCTTTCTTCAGGCAAACATAATCCACAAAAAAAAAACCTTGCCAGATTTTGATTGGGATGGCATTGAATACACATCAAGTTAGGAAGAACTAACATCTTGGCAATATTAAGACTTCCTGTCCATAAACAAGGAATATCTATTTATTTAGTTGTTCTTTAATGTCTTCATCAGAGTTTTATAGTTTTCCTCATATAAGATCTTGTTTATATTTTGTTAGATTTATATCTAAGTACTTCATTTTAGGAGATGCTAATGTAAATGATATTAAATTTTTAAATTTCAAATTCTACTCATTTACTGCTGGTATATAACAAAGCAATTAATCTTTGTATCCTGCAACCTTGTATCCTGCAACCTTGTTAAAATCACTTATTAGTTCTTGGATGTTTTTGCTTGTTTTGTCAATTCTTTCAGATTTTCTACATAGACAATAATGCCATCTGTGAACAAAAACAACTTTATTTCTTCCTTCCCAATCTGTATATCCTTTATTTCATTTCCTCGTCTTATTGTACTAGCTAGCATTTCCAGCATAATGTTGAAAGGCAATGGTGAGAGGGACCATTCTTTCCTTATACCTGATCTATGCAGAAAAGCTTTGAGTTTCTCACCATTAAGTATGATGGCAGCTGTAGATTTATTGCAGATGTTCTTTTCCAAGTCAAGGAAGTTCCTCTCTATTCCTAGTTTTCTGTGTTTATCATAATGGACATTGGATTTTGTCTATGTTTATTGATATGATCATGTCATTTTTCTTCTTTTGCCTGTTGATATGATGGATTACATTAATTGACTTTTGAATGAGCCAGCTTTGCATATCTGGTGTAAATTACACGTTTGTGATATATAATTATTTCTACACATTTTTGGATGCAATTTGCTAACATTTTGTTGGGAATTTTTGCATCTGTGCTCATGATAGCTACTGATTTGTAGTTTTATTTTTATTTTGTTTTGCTAACCTTTTTTCTCGACTTCTAATGTCATCTAATTGTTAGAAAACAGGATTTATTTGTTTAGAGCTTCTGCTGGCATCAATAGTGATTTTTAATTCATTTTAATTATATTTAAATAATTTCTTTAAAGAACCTTTCAGAATGACAAACAGCTTTTTCATTTTTATGCTAATTAACAAAACACATCCCTTTCTTCAGGTAGACAATCCCATGACAAAGCAAACATTTTGGCTGAGAGGGAGTGGGCTTAACTTCATCAATTTTTCTCCTCCTAGCTGGTTACTCTTATGTATGCACAGACTGTACAACTATTTAAGGTAGTTCTGTCTTTTATATATTCTGAGATTTGCTTTGTGGTCAACAATGTGGTCAATTTGTGTAACTATTTCTTATATGTGTAAAAGCAATTCATAAGCTTATTATGTTAATGGATATTTCTATTTTTTCATATTTTCCATCTCTACCTCTCTAAACTGCATCTCAGTTATAACTTCAGATCAACCTTCAAATTAATTAGGTATCTTATTTTATTATTTTATTATTAGTTATCTAATATTTTATATATATACTCCAGTGGGTTTTAACTTTAAAGACTATGCATATACATTCATTTGTATAAAACTGTTTTGCTCTTATTCCTATATGACTGCTCTTTTTTTCTATTGTCCTATTCTCTTAATATGGTATCTGTATATTTTCCTTTTACATTTTTAAGTCACTTTAATCATATCCACTTTATTAAAAGATTTTTCTAATATTTGAGTAATTGAGTATTGATTCTTATTTTTATTTTGCTTCCCCTTGCTGTCTAATTTATTTCTGTGGATTTTAAATTTGGTTTGAGCCACTCTTCATCAAAAGAGGAAGACCTTAATCATTGAATGTTTTGCTATAGAATTACTTGGCTCCTTATTGAAGATTTTGCTATAGCAAAAGGTTTTGCTATAGAATTTTGTTGTGGTACCCTTGACTTGTTTTTATGTTAATTTCTTTGTTTTAGTTCTAGTACCACACAAGTTACATAAATTCAAATTTGATACATAGCATTGTCTGAGGCTTGTATATTTTTGTGAATGATTTTACCCATACCTTAAACTCTCTGCCACCCTCAAAATCATGTAAGTTTTCTCAATATTTGTCTGGGATTCTGGGTGGAGTCCTGTAGCCCATGAAGGATCACTTTAAAGTTACTGTCTTTATCATTCTATAAAAAAGACATCTGCACTCGAATGTTTATACCAGCATAATTCACAATTACAAAGATGTGGAAACAACCCAAGTGCCCATTAATACATGAGTGGATTAATAAAATGTGGTATATGTATACCATGGAGTACTATTCAGCTATAAGAAACAACAGTGATATAACACCTCTTGTATTTTCCTGGATAGAGCTGGAACCCATTCTACTAAGTGAAATATCCCAAGAATGGAAAAATAAGTACCACATGTACTCACCAGCATATTGGTATTAACTGATCAACACCTAAGTGGACATATAGGAATAACATTACCGGGCGTTGGGCAGATGGAGGGGGGAGAAGGGGATGTGTATATACATACATAATGAGTGCAATGGGCACCATCTGGGGTATGGACACACTTGAAACTCTGACTCTAGGGGTGAAGAAGAGGGAAAGGCAACACACGTAACCTAAACATTTGTATGCCCATAATATGCTGAAAAAAAATAGTTACTGTCTTTATGCCAAGTGCTCAGTTCCTGTTCTTCCACTTTGCAAAAGCTTAGATCCTCATTCCTCAGCTTCCAGGGTTTATGTCTAATCTCAACCCTTCCCCCTTGAACCATGAACATACTAGATTATGCTTTGTCTCAGTTATTTTTTCTCAATTTTAACTCTTTTTCTTTAATTTTAGCATATGACATGTGACGAGAAACTTTTTTTCTTTGAGCTCATTTATTATGGTATAAAATAGTTATATTTTAATAGTTAATATTTTAATAGTTATAATTTTCTCTAACCTTTTATTTATTTTTTGTTTTCACTTTTAAATTTCAAAATATTAAACAGGTGGTGTTAGGCTTTGTAGTAATCTCATGGATGCAAGAAGGCTCTGCCGTTTCTGGAAAAGAAATGCAAAAGGACATGCATCAGTGCCACAGAAAGTTACAAAGTTCTGGTCGGCAAATCTTACTGGCCTGGGATTTTGAAACATAAGAGAACTACAAAAAGGAAAACTTACAAAAATGTTTTCTTGGTTATGGAGCTAGTTAGAGTAGTAAATAAGACATGAAGGAAAGGATTAGAAACTGAGAAGAAAATCATCTGCTGTGTAGGATGAGGAGTTCTTTTCTACTGGATAAGGGCTTCATGATCCAGAGGAGGTCAGGAGCTGAAGGACACAGGGCCAGCGGGGGCAGCCTCCCTTTCTCACCATGAGATCAAATGACTTGGCACATACTGCTGAAAGGTCATTAAATCCTGCTAGTCTTGAATACTGCTGCAGTAGATATTTTCCAGATGTTTGCTTTTAAGCCTGGTTTTAACTTACAGTATAAATTATGTGAATATCCATTAGCAGTGAATCTATAAAAATCATAAAAACTATTTCCATTTGATAAGGTATTGTACTCTAGGGGCTCAACCAAGCACACATATGAATGCTTCAAAACCCTTTTCTGAGAAAGAAATACTGGCTCTCTCTGCAGTCTATACTGCCCACAATCATGTAGAAGTAGACTGGCCTTTCTTTGGCCCAGCATTCACATTTTCACAATAGAGCAACAAATGTATTCATTTCATATCTAGTATGTTTAAGAACACATGCATATCTCTATATAACTAGCAGTATAATATACTAGAGTTATTTGTTAGTATATTCAGCTCATTAATAATATATAGTTTTTGCTTTTGTAGTACAGCGGGTCCTGGGATAACATAATTTCATTCAATGCCATTTCACTATACCGCTGATGAGAAAGAAAATTGATTCCCAGCTGGAGCCACTTTCTGTGTGGAGTTTGTGCATCTCCCCCATGTCTGCATGGATTCTCTCCGGGTCCTCCGGTTTCCTCTCACATCCCAAAGCTGTGATGGGAGGTGAACTGGCACATCTACAAGGTCCCAGTCTGAGTGAGTGGGTGTGTGTGTGGGTGCCCTGAGATAGGGTGATGGTGTCCTGGCCCGGCTGCTTTCAGCCTCTTGCTGTGAGCTGCCTGGAGAGGCTCAGGCCACCTCGACCCCGAACTGGCAAGAGTAGGTAAATAATTATCTTACTTGCTCTTACTTGTTTTATTAATCTTTTAAAAATGCATGTATAGCTCACATTTATTATAATGTGAAGTATTTTCGTCTTTATTTAGAAGTTTGTTGATGTTTTGTGACCAAAATATGCCATAGGAACTTAACTCTCATTTATATCAATTAGCCTATTAAAATTGGTTTCATTATGTCATTTCTATTCAAGTCGCAGTTTCCAAGACAATGTTAAGTGAGGAGTTATGGTACCTCTTCTCCCCAGGTCTCATCCTAAAGGTCAGACTTACCTCTGCATAAATTCTGGAGGAAATGAAAGTTTGTCTGTCCTTTCCCCCTCCCTTATGGGTACCCTTCCATTTTCCTTTTCAGGAATGGGGAGGCTGCCCCCTTCACCATTCTCTGCTCACCTATAGGCTCCTGCACCTGCTCATCTCTCATAAGATGTCAGAAGATAACGGTACCATAACTGAAATAAGGTATGAGGTGGGATCTCTTAAGGCTCATTAGGCTTGAACCTACATACATATTGTATATTTCAAAATTGATGAAAGAGTAGACTTCAAATGTTCTTATCACAAAAAAATGATAAGTATTTAAGGTGCTGGATATGGTAATTACTATAATTTAAACATTTCACAATGTATACACGTACCATAATGCACACTGTACCCCATAAATACATACAATTATTTGTCAATTAAAAATTAAATTAAGTTTTTAAAAAAGGCTCTGATGGTACTCCTTAAAAAACTTTAAAGACTTAATGAAAAGCAGCCTTTAGAACGGAATAATAAGCATTGGGTTTATATTTGTATGGGTTTCTTACATAATGGTGGCCCATTCTGTTTATAAGCAACAGCACTGTATGAATGAATACTTATGGATTTTCAACCTACACTAGAAGTAAACACAGCGATTTCCTTTTTCCTCTTTTTATACAATTTTATATACAGATATACACACAAACTACACATATATACATATATTGAAGAATATGGTATGGAAATTTCTAGTAGCTAGTATAAAAAAACAAATATAGACTTTTATTTGGACTTGACTTCCTAGTACAGAATATTTTCATCATTCAACTGATAAGTTACGTATATTCATACCCAGTAGACTGGTACTCATGAATTTTTTATCAAAATAAAAATTCTACCTTGACTAATGAAATAAAGGTACTTAAAATTATTGGTCATCACATCATCACTATTTTAGCATACATTAACAATCATTAATTTCCTGGTAGCTGTTAAAATCCTGTCTTGTCTTTGGAGACGCCCTTAGTATCTTTAATAGGAATTATTTGGTCAGCTTAGCAGGAATTTATTATAAAAAGAGATCCATCTGGTCACTATATCAAATTAATAGTACTTGAACATTGAGTTCCCCTTTCAAGCTGATTAGGCATTACTATATAAAAATTTTTAACAAATATAGATGCGTTTCATTATAATCACATCACAGGTTGCCTTTCTCACATCTGAGTCATTTGGAATAAATAAAACTTTTGCCGACCTGTTAATAATTTGGTGAAATAGAGTAGATAATAACTAAGGAGGAAAGCAAATTAATTTCATACTATTTAAGTGTCTGGCTCTCTTTTTGGTACATCTTGATTCAGCCTTCTCAAATTTTTAGAGGATTTGATAATTCAATCACGTGCTCAGATCAGATACTTAAGAATATAGTTTAGAGATTGCTAGGAGACAGAAGAGAATATAGGACTCACTTTGGATTTGACTTTCTGATACACTTCAAAATAGCATAATTTAAGCATCTGCATTAGTATTAAAAGAATTCAGCAGTCTCTCAGAGGCACGTAATCTGAAGGCAAATTTATTTCTTCTTGCATATTTGACATAGTAAGGGCAATGCTCTCCTATACTATGATATTCCCTAGGTAAAGTTTTCAGTCATAGATTCTATGGATTCTATAAAATATCTTCAAATTCAATTAATGTTCGTAATCACCATGGAGGCTTTAAAAATATTCCCTCCAACATCTAACTCTATATTTGTTCTTGAAGCTGACATGGAAACATAAAAAGAAATTGACTTAGGCCTAAAAAGGGCATCCAAGGATGCTTTGTTTTCAAAATGCAGGCGTGTGCTTGCACATACGTGCACACTCACACACACACACCTCCTCCAGCTCTTTAACATTGCAATAAAGGGTTGCAAACACCATGGAGACTGGGAATCCACATCCAAGTAGTATTGCCTAGGTGTCAGGTTTTAAGACCAAACTTGCCAACTATGGGTCCAATCTATAAAGACATGCACAAGTCTGTTATCATGTGGGTAGGTTTTTCATATAGCCTATTCTTCATCTTACAGCATTGTCCTTCATTCTCAAATTTTATGCTTCCTCCTTCTTTTGATGTAAAATCCTTTTTCTTCTGTGAAGTGATAGCCAGAGAAGATAGTAGTATTTGTTTTTATGTTCTTACATGGAAAAACAAAAGACGAAAGTTGGCAACCTTACTGGCTTTCAAATTTGTTTTTGGAATGTTACCAGCTGGTAAAATACAAAAGTCTGGAAATCTCTGACCAGCACGGAACACATATGCTCCGTTCATTCTGATTTTATAAACCATTTCACAGAAATTTAGTTTTATAATATTGTTCTGGCTGTTCATAGAAGCTCCCTCCCATCATCCCCCTGACATTTGGTTTAAAGCTAAAATGTTAACAAATAATCAAGAGAGATTGTAACTATAGTATATCTTAATTTATGGAGAACATATATGGTTGAAATGCTGCTAAGATCAGATTTCTTGACCTCTAATGCCATATTACTTACAAAATTAGTAATGTGCTTTTCATTGAAATAAAAATGCCACATAATTCAATAAATTTTTTAGTAATCTAGTGAAATGATTATGAATGATAAATGTTTTGATTACATACTTGAAAAAGTACCAGTAAAACATTTTAAATGTGAACAGATAAAGTTTAAAAAACCAATGACAGCTTAACTGAACAGGATCTAATACATCAAAAGGCCATTACATTTCAATGAAGCTCTCCAGTAAAGCAAAAACCGTACCACTCTTTAGTGATTAAATTAACCTTAGAAACGAACATTCAGGTTTGTATTTAGAGAGAAAATCCTGAAACATTGCTGAGGTAACAATTCAGTATGTTACTATAAATGACAAAATAGGGATGCACATTTTTGAGAATATGCACAGTGGCAAATGAACACAGTTGTGGATTACATAGTTGAGAACTATTTAAAAAATGTATGTGAAATCAGTTTCTTGATTTAGTACAGTCATAACTCAGAGATACTGCATATTCGGTTCTAGACCAACACTGAAGCTAATATTGCAATAAAGCAAGTCACACATTTTTTTTATTTCTTACTGCACATAAAAGTTATGTTTATAAAGTACTGTAGTCTATTAAGTGTGCAATAGCATTATGTAAAAAGAAAAGCCATGTACATACCTTAATTAAAAATATTTTTCTTGCTAAAAATTGCTAATGATCATCTGAACTGTCATTTTTTTGCAGAGTCTAGCCTCAGTGCTGATGGCTGCTGACTGATCAGGTTATTGGTTGCTGAAGGTTGAGGTGCCTGTGGCAATTTCTTAAAATATAGCAACAATGGAGTTTGCAGCATCAACTGACTCTTCTTTCATGAAAGATTTCTCTGTAGCATGTCCTGCTGTTTGATAGCATTTTACCTACAGTAGAACTTCTTTTAAAATTAAAGTCAATTTTCACAGACCCTTCCACTGCTTCATCAAACTTATGTACTATTCTAAACCTTTTGTTGTTACTTCAACAATGTCTACAGCATCTTACCAGGGCTAGATTCCATCTCAATAAGCTACTTTCTTTGCTCATCCATAATAAACCAATTCCTCATCTGTGCAGGTTTTATCATGAGATTGCAGCAGTCCAGTCAAATCTTCAGGCTTCACTTCTAATTCCAGTTCTCTTGCTATTTCCACCACACCTGCAGTGACTTCTTCCACTGAAGTCTTGAACCCTCAAAGTCATCCATGAGGGCTGGAATCAACTTCTTTCAAACTCCTGTTAGTGTTGAGATTTTGACTTCCTCCCAGCAATCAGAAATGTTCTTAATGGCAACTAGAATGGCAAATCCTTTCCAGAAGGTTTTCAATTTACTTTGCCAAGATCCGTCAGAGGAACTACTATCTGTGGCAGCTATAGTCATACCATATGCATTTCTTAAATAATAAGACTTGAAAGTTGCAATTACTTCTTGATCCATGGGCTGCAGAATGAGTATTGTGTTAGCAGGCATGAAAATGACATTCATCTTCTTGTGCATCTCCATCAGAGCTCTTGGGTGACTAGGTGCATTGCCAATGAGCAGTAATGTCTTGAAAGGAATCTTTTTTCTAAGCAATAGATCTCAAAAGTGGGTTTAAAATATTCAGTAAACTATGCTGTAAATAGATATGCTTTCATCCAGGCTTTTTTCTTCTATTTCTAGTGCACAGTGAGAGTAGATTTAGCCATTCTTAAGGGACCTAGAATTTTCAGAATGGTAAATGAGGTTCAACTTAAAGTCAGTAGCTGCATTAGCTTCTAACAAGAGAGTCAGCCTGTCTTTTGAAGCTTCAAAGCTAGACATTGACTTTCCCTTTCTAGCAATGAAAGTTCTATATGGCACCTTATTCCAACATAAGGCTGCTTCATTTACATTGAAAATCTTTTGTAGTGTAGTCACTTCCATCAATTATCTTAGCTAGATCTTTTGCACAATTTGCTGCAGTTTCTACATCAGCACTTGCTGCTTTACCCTGCACTTTCATGTTATGGAGATGATTTCTTTCCATAAACCTCATAAGCCAACTTCTTAGCTTTGAACTTTTCTTCTGCAGTCTTGAAGAGAATTAGGGCCTTCTTATGAATTAGGCTTTGGCCTAAGGGAATATTGTGGCTGGTTGATCTTCTATGCAGACCACTAAAACTTTCTCTTTGCTTTCTTATATTTATATTTCTTATATTTCAAGTGTTCACTGGAGTAGCACTTTTAATTTCCTTCAAGAAGTTTTACTTTATATTCATAACTTGGCTAACTATTTGGCACAAGAGGCTAGCTTTCAGCCTAGCTTGGCTTTTGTCATGTCTTTCTCCCTAAGTTTAATCATTTCTAACTTTTGATTTAAAGTGAGAGAAGCGTAACTCTTCCTTTCATTTGAACACTTAGAAGCCATTGTAGGGTCATTAATTGGCCACATTTCAATATTTTTGTGCCTCAGGAAATGAGGAGGCCTGAGGAGAAGGAGAAAAATGTGGAAACAACCCGTCTGCGGAGCAGTCAGAACACATGTAACATTTATTGATTAAGTTTGCCATCTTACATGGATGTGGTTTGTGGTGCCCCAAAACAATTATTATTTGTGGTGCCCCAAAACAATTATTAATTGTTTTGGGGCACCACAAACCACATCCATGTAAGATGGCAAACTTAATCAATAGTAACATCAAAGATCTCAAATCATCATAGAACACCATGGCAGATGTAATAATAATAATAAAGTTTGAAATATTGTGAGGATTATCACAATATGACACAGAGCGAGCATATGTTGTTGGAAAAATGGTGCCTTTAGTCTTGCTTGGTGCAGGCTTGCTACAAGTCTTCAATTTGTAACATATGCAATATCTGTGAAGAGCAATAAAACAAGGTATGCCTGTATGCTTCTAATGTAAGTTTTAGTATTCAGTAAAATTTGAATTAAGCAGAACACGACAGGGACTCTTGGTTAATCAGATTATTAGGTTGGTGCAAAGGTAACTGTGGTTTTAGCATTGTTTAAATTTGCTTTTTGATCTTGAAATACATTCTTATATAAATATAGTTATGTTTTACATCATTTTAATGCACATTTCTCTCTTTATTATTTTTATTGCTAATGACTTATTACTTGCTGTTTATTTTATATGTTTTTAGACTGTGGAAATGGTATTAGACAAAAAGCAAATTCGAGTGATTTTCTTATTCGAGTTCAAAATGGGTCATAAAGCAGCGGCGACAACTTGCAACATCAACAACGCATTGGGCCCAGTAGCTGCTAAAGAACATACAGTGCAGTGGTGGTTCAAGAAATTTTGCAAAGGAGACAACGAGAGCCTTGAAAATGAGGAATGCAGGAAAGACCAGACCTCTGATCTTGAGATATTGTCAATTTTCCCGAAGAGAAATGAACTTATTTTCCTGAAAAGTTCATTAAATAGTTATAATAGTCTAAAATTAAGTGCTTACTAAACTATGCATGACTGTGGACATTATAACTAGTGAAGCATGAGGGTGGCTTGAGTAATCAAGTAAGCTTTTGTGAGCCCTGTGAAAGGATCTGAGATGGCTAGCAAGTATTTATTGTGGACTTTCTAGATCCATCTGCCTAGAATACTATATCACAGGTCCAGTCATCTTAATTAAAAAAAGATATATTAGAATCAAAAATCATTAGAAGACTCTGGAAGGTTAGGAAATAGTATGAGGAGAGACTATATTATCTATTTCATCTTAAATGAGCTTTGATAGTTTGTAACTTTCCAGAAATTTTATCAATATCATTAAATACACTGACATAAATTTTTCAAAATGTTTCATTACTGTCTTTAAATGTCTGTAGGAGGTATAATGCTCTCTCCTCTTCCATTCCTATCACTGGTAATTTGTGTCTTCTTATTTTCTTTTCTTCCTTTTTTTTTTTCTTATTTTCTTAATAATCCTCATCAGGATTTCATTATTTCAAAGAATAAACTTTTTATTTTTTAAATTTTTTTCTATTGATTTTTTAAAATCAATTTCCTTGATTTCCACTCTTATCTTTGTTTTCCTCATTCTACTTACTTTGTGTTTCATTTGCTTTTTATTTTTAGCTTCTAAAAATGAAGGTTAATATCATTGATTTTATTCCTTTATTCTTTTCTCAGATAAAATTTGAATTAATAAATTTGCTTCTAAGATTTGCTTAAGTGGTTTCTGACAAATGTTCTGCTTTGTTGTATTTTCATTTTCATTCAACAAAAAATATTTCCTAATTTTACCAGCAATTTCATCTTTGCCTTATGGGTTATTTACAAGTGTATTGCCTAATGTACAGATATTTGGGGATTTTCCAGTTATAGCTCTATTTTGATTTTAATTTAACTCCATTGAGTTCAGAGAAATTACTCTGCATGATCTCAATTGTTTTAAATCTATTAAGATTTATCATTTTTTAGGAATGTTCTGTACTTGAGAAAATATATATTGTTGGGTGTGGTGAATTATAAATATCAATTGTATTAATTTGGTTGATAGAGTGTTTAAGTTTTTTATATCTTTAATGAAGGTTTTGGTCTGATCTATCAATTACCAAGAGTGAAGTGTTAGAACTATCCTTTTTTATAGTTTTAATGTTAATTACAATTGTATATAATTTTACTTTTCCTTTACTCCTACCAGTGTTTGCTTCTGTTATAAGGGGTATGACAAATAGGACTTTTATGTATTCTTGATCAATTAACTTTTTAATTTTATGAAGTACTCCTCTTTATTTTTAGTAACACTCCTGTTTTAAGTATACTTTGTCAGGAATTAATATTGCTACTTCAGCTTTGAATAATGTTGCTATGAATGATACTTTGCTGTGAATTATGCTATAAATATTTTGCTATAAATGATATTTACATAAGATAGATTTTTTTCCATAATTTTACTTTTAACTTATATGTGTCTTCATATTTAAAATACATTTCTTTTAAAAATGTATTGCTGGTGTTGATTTTTCTGAATTTAATTTGATAATCTATGCATATTAATTGGACTGTTTAGTTAATTTATATGCAATAGAATTATTTATCCAGTTGGATTTTTTTTTTTTTTTTTTTTGAGACAGAGTCTCGCTTTTGTTGCCCAGGCTAGAGTGAGTGCTGTGGCGTCAGCCTAGCTCACAGCAACCTCAAACTCCTGGGCTCGAGCGATCCTTTTGCCTCAGCCTCCCTGGTAGCTGGGACTACAGGCATGTGCCACCATGCCCGGCTAATTTTTTTATATATATATCAGTTGGCCAATTGATTTCTTTCTATTTATAGTAGAGACGGGGTCTCGCTCTTGCTCAGGCTGGTTTTGAACTCCTGACCTTGAGCAATCCGCCCGCCTCGGCCTCCCAAGAGCTAGGATTACAGGCGTGAGCCACAGCGTCCGGCCTTATCCAGTTGGATTTAAGTCTATCATATTGCCACTTATTTTAAAATCATCTCACTTTTTTCTTATTTCTTGTTTTACTGAATTTTTTTCCTCCTTTCCTACAATCTGTTGACTGGAGTATTTGCTTAATTTTCCATAATTTCCTTCATCAGCTTTAACTATATCATTTAAAAAAAGTATTTTAGTGGGCTGCATTAGAGATTAAATATGTAACCAAAATTTATTAATATCTACCTTGGATTTATATTATAAACTACATTAAGTATATTATAAGAACAATGAGAAAATTCTACTTACTCCCCCTCTGTCCACATGCTATTTTTGCCATATATTTTATTTCTACATATAAGCACTAAGATACATAGTTATTAATATTTATTATTAATATAATAGTTATGAATATTATAGTTATTAATATTTTGCTATTAATAATTGCTTTAGTCAATTGCATTTTAAAAATATAAGAGACAAGAAAAGAATCTTTCATATTAACCCATATGTTTCCCATTTATAGTGTTTTTCCTCCTTTTATGTATATCTGAGTTTCTATCTGGTATCATTTGCCTTCAACCTGAAGTTTTTACCATGTTTACAAAGCACATATCAAATATTCTCAGCCCTACTTAGCTGAAAATTTCTTTATTTTGCATTCATTGTTGAAAGATCATTTTTGCTGGATATGAAGTTATAGGTTGAATTTTTTCTTGTTCAATTTTTAAAGCTACTCTATTATTTTCTGGCTTGCATTCTTCCTTATGACATCAGTTGTCATTCTCTTTCTCTTGTAATGTCTTTTTTTCCTGTATGCTTTTAAGGTTTTCTCTTCATTTTTATGCAAGCTTCATTTTTATGTAATTCGACAAATTGATATTTGACAAAGTACCTATGTATGGTTTTTCTTTGTGTTTTTCCTATTTGGGTTTTGTCAAGTTTGGAGTTTTTTAATCGATGCTTTTCATTATATTTAGAAAATGGCCATTAGGTGTTCGAAATTTTTTTCTGCTTCAATCTCTCTTTCCTTTTCTTCTGGGCCTTTAACTACACATTAGACCATTTAATATTTTCCACAGGTCACTGAAACTCTGCTTATCTTTTTTTTTTTTTTAGACTTCTTACTTTTTTTTTTTTTTTTGAAGTTGAGGTTTTTTTTTTTTCCTTTTTTTTTTTTATTTCGGCATATCATGGGGGTACAGATTTTAAGGTTTCAATAAATGCCCATTTCCCCCCCTCCCCCCACAAGTCTGAGTCTCCATCATGACCATCCCCCAGATGGTGCACATCTCACTCATTATGTATGTATATACCCTCCCCCCTCCCCCCTCCCACCTGCCCAATACCCTATTACTGTAGTACCTATGTGACCACTTAGGTGCTGTTCAGTTAATACCAATTTGCTGGTGAGTATATATGGTGCTTGTTTTTCCATTCTTGGGGAACTTCACTTAATAGTATGGGTTCCAGCTCTAACCAGGAAAATATAAGATGTGCTATGTCACCATTGTTTCGACTTCTTACTTCTTATGCTCTAGTTTGGATAGTTGTCCTACTTCAAGTTCATTTATTTATTTATTTTTTTATTATACATCTCCAATTTGCTGTTAAGTCCATCCAGTGAATTTTACATTTCAGCCAAAAAAGTTTTCAGGTGTAGACTTTCCATCTTTTTTTTTTTTCTTTAATAACTTTCATCACACTGTAGGGCTCCACATCTGCTCATGCATTACATTCATGTTTCAATTTATACTTTTAAAATATTTATAATATATTGTATATAGCTGTTTACTTTCTTTGTCTGCTAATTCCAAAATCTGTGTTTTCCCTGATTTTTTTTGACCATTTTCTTTTTCCTGGTTGTGATTCCCTGTGTGTCCCTGCTGATATGCCTGACACTGTAGGTGCTACACTGTGTTAAGAGTCTAAAATTCATTGTCTTCCTTTAAATATTAATTTTTCTTCTGGCAGGCAATTAATTTATTATATAATCAACTTTATCTTATTAGAGTACTGTTATTTTTAGAGCATGTTAGCCCTTACACTGAAGTTAAAGTGCCCCTATAATTAAGAAAAACAACAGCAACTTTTTTTCTGTGTTTTTACCTAAGTGCTCTGAGTGTTCAGTGTGGATTCTCCACTCTGGCTCTTTGACACTCCAGTGACTCCTAGCAATGCGCAACATACAGAATCTCCATTTAGTTTTCTATCCACCTGTGCATGGGTATCTTTGTAGTTGGCCAAAGACTCAAGAAGACCCCAAGATAATTTCTAGAGCGCCTTCTGAAGATAGCTTCCTCTTCTCTATTATCTCATTCACAAAATTCCAGCGGTCTCAAATTCCAAGCTCTGTTTCCTCCACCCAGATAAAGCTTTGCTCTTTGGTGTCTACTTCTTTAATCCACAGCCAGGAAAATTCTACCAGGAAGAAATCTGGGATTCTTGTGCACTATCTGTCCATTGCCTGAAAAGCTGCTTTACATATTTTTCCAGTTTTATAATTGATTACTATAATATAGTGAGGTGGGAAATATGATAGCCCTTATTCCATTATGGCCGTAACTGAAAGCAGAACATGGAAAGAAGCAGTTCCCATGTTCACATGTCCTTTTGTGATCACCTATTTTCTAAACAGAGAGAAACTGGACCCAACTTGTAACACAAAAAACAAGAAATTGTACAAAACATAATGCATAGATGCTAAAATGAGTGGTACATGTTAACAGTCCTATTGACATGCACTGATTCATGCCACAGGATTTAAGTGAGCATTTTCATGGGCACCATTCTAGATTCTTAGT